CCATTTGGTAGGCATATTGGTTGTGGTGTAAAGGACTTCTAGTAAAAACCTCTTCGCTGATGTGTCTGTCGATCAGCTTTTCTAGTGTTTTGAGTAAGAAGGATGTTATGCTGATCGGGCGAAAGGATTTGGCCTGGGCATACGTCTTTCGCCATTCTCCATTCCATTGGTATATATGCCAGGGCCAAGCTGGCCCGGAGCATCTTGCACAAGAGGGGCACCAGTAAATCGGTTCCTGTTGTTTTCTACCATACAAAGCCCCCTCCTCAATGAACCAAGTCATCTGCTTACCGCTACCAAATCCCCCAAGTAGTCCATGTGTCTTCGACTGGATCTTCGTTGCTTGGCCCCGTTTGCTTCAAACTTAACCAATACAAAGCGATTGCTTGGCATGCTTGCAGCTGAGTGGGTGCACCGGTGAGCTAATGAGCTTGACGCGATCGGACAGTACCTGCTCCGCCCATTCGATGCAACATGGGGGCGTGCCCGAGCTGCTATTGGGGCTCTGCTACAACGCGATCACTGGAAGATTGGGCGTGGAAGTGGTGAAAGGCTCACACTTTCGGTAGGGAACCAACCAGCCAGGCCTGGTTGAGTTTGATAGTAACGGTTGCAGGAATCTGGCCCTAAATAGAGCTCCGGACACCTACGTGAAACTCAACCTGGTGAGCAGCACCGGGCAGGAGTTGGCCCATAGTAAAACCACCATAAGGCGGGGCCAACCCAATCCCCTCTTTAAGGAAACGTTCGTGTTCCAGGTGAGTTTTTCTCATGCGGTTGAGTGAGGGAGGAACTGAGGGTGCGGTTGTTTTCAGGTGGCGCTGTTTCAGCTGGCCGATGTGACTCTGATGGTGTCGGTTTACAACCGGAAAGGCGTGACGAAGAAGAAGGAGATGGTGGGCTGGTTCAGTCTAGGGCTGAATTCCAGTGGGGCCGAAGAACTGGCGCACTGGATGGATATGAAGGAGTTCCAACAGGAGCAGGTGTGCCGCTGGCACATTCTGGTGCAGTCATAGCGAAGCAGGCGCAGGGTGATGTCGGTGAAGATCGGAAAGTCTGCTCGAGTCGAGTAAGGTAACCAGTTCCAAGCCAGGACTGTTTGTTTTTTCACTTATACCATTGGTTTACCACGGATAAATTGGGGTGGGGGCATTGGGCGTCTTCGGACCAACCAGTGCACTGATATATCGGGTGTAACAAAATAATCGCACAATTTTTATAAATGTCTTTAGCGGGTAAAACTGTTGCTGCAATCGGTCGGTGATCTACTGCATTTTATAAATGAATTTTATGATTATCAAATGAGATGATTAGGGACGAACTTGGATTCTGTAATTATCGAACGGTTTATTGAATTATACAACTTTTATACTATATTAGGTGTTTCACGTTTTCATTGGAGGAAAACCCTTTAGCGTTTAAGTGATGTGATAATTCTATTACAGGCTAAGTTGTTCGATGGATTTACATTTTTCGCGCAGCAATTCTGCCAATGGGAAAGTTTCGAATGCGCAGATAGGCCTGAGTAACCCAACGCACCGGCGCAGTAACGTGAGTTCCGTTGCTGGGAAAATATTAGGGGCAACTTATCAATAACATTTTTTTCAAAATTTTCCAGTTTTAGCAAAATTACTCTTTTTCCTAAATGCTCGATTTTCTAAAGATGCACTTAAAAATACTGAACAAACTTAAGGTATTTTTCGCGAAAAAGTATGAAATACATTTTATTAGAACACTCGTCTTCTTCGTCGCTTTGTAAAAAGTTTTGAAATCCCATTCCAGCTACGAATTTGGGACAAAAATCAAATAATTTTCTATCGAAACACGCACAGAATCAGCGAAATATTATAATACATTATTTGGAAAACTCGTCACCTCCATTCCTCCAAAGACTGTAGAGCTTGTTAAAAAAATGTGGTTTTTTAGTTTTGACTGACTTTTTTTCTTTACTTTCCACTCAAAAACTCTCTATTTTGTAGAGTTTCACTTAAAATAACTGACGATCTGAAGGTCTTTCACGCAAAAAATTACAACATGAATCTGTTGCTTTGTATTGCGTCGAATTTAGGACAAAAACGAAAATAAATATCTCCCGTTTATTCCCGAAAATCATTAAGATTTTCTCAAAAACCGATCACAAAACTAAGTTTTTAATGGAAAACGCAAAAATACATTATTTTCTTCTTTTCTGGCAATTATGGGGTCTTTATGTCGGCCATGAGTTATAACTCATTGACCAATGAGTTAACTCAGAGAGCGGCAACAACTCAAAGGCGCAACTCAACACAGTGTTACCCAGGCCTATGCGCAGATAAACTGGGTGACTGGAAATTGTCTGTGATCTCAACGCTAATTTCCACTCACCCTCACATTGAGTGAGTTCCAAATTGTTAAACAGGGTGAGATAAGTCTGGTTCGCACACGTAGAAGAGAGAAAGGGGGCCTTTGAGGGCTTTGTTAATCCCAGTTCATGATCGATTTCAGTTAGTCCGAATCGGATATCAAACAAACCCCTCTGACTAGTTAGGAAATATTAAATCATTCATATCCAGTTAACAGAGTGGCATATAAAGTTTATAGCATAGTTGGATCATCAGATTTTTAGGGATTTTATACCTAACTTGGTTTTGTTGAACCTCGACCAGTGGACCAAACTGGAGGGTTTTAGGCAGCAAGTAAATATATGGTCTGCTGGTGAACTCAAGCAGCCAAGTTCAACAAAGCGATCGTGGTGCCCATTTTTGTCTTATGAAGGCGATTTTGCCTTTAAATTCTAATCTTATGAGCTTAAAATCAAGTGAGGATTCGTTGGAAATGCGGTTTTATTTACACTCTCAAGAATGTTGTTTCATTTTCTCTGTGGAGCCGTTGACTTGAGCATCTGCAAAAATCAACCGGCGATTTATCACTTATAGGCCTGCCAGTTGGACTGCATTTAAATAGGGCAGTGAACAAATGCGCCTACTATGCTACTAATGAAATGTTTCCAGAACAACTTTTGTCTGTCTTATGCGGAGAACTGGCAAAAAGCCTCATTTCCAATGTTTCTCCTTATTTTATCGGTATTAAAACATATTTTTAACTATATTGTTGGTAAAAAGCTTTCTGAGGAATTGAGGAGCTCTAGGTGAAGAAGTTTGTTAAACTCGCTCTCCAATTGTTCGGACGGCCTTCTAGTCTTAATTAAGCTATTACCAAGAACTTATCCGCTAGCAGGGTGGGGTGGCTGGGCTCTTGCAATTGGTTGCTGCTTAAAAAGTCGGCCAATCTAAGACAATTTGGGGTCTTATTAGCTTTGTAGGTCGATTTTTCAAGGGCATGTAAGCGGGGTGTTCAATGTCCTTGTTTTTTTGCTCAACGTCCGCTCAGATCGTGTTACTCGCACTCGTTTGGTTTTGTCAATCTATGGACCATGTAAACATACGTTTCTAGGCTGTAAGGGGTTTTCACGTTTCGACCGGCGCCCGGCTGAATTTAGCTAGTTTTTAGCACCCCAACCCTGGCTGGCGTTAACATGTATTATGCGAATTGCCTTTCTATTTGATAAGCCTGTAGGATAAGGATTTTGTACTTTGTCCATTTTTTTATTAAGGGAACTGTATTTGAAGGAAAATGCATGACAACGTTCCACAGCTTTATGTAATACACACATACGCACTCACTACTTGGCACCGTTCATGTAATTTTTTAAATATCTACTTATCCTCAAAATCCTTTTGTACAAAATATATTACCAATTGTCAATGAGTGGGTCTGATTAAAACCTCCAGCCTAATTCCAATCCTAGTTATATTAAGCAACAAGACTACACAGCACGGATTTAATAGGTCTCGGGCGAGGGTGGGTTCTTGCTGTACTTGTCCTCTTTGGATCTCTCCCCGGCAAAGTGCTGACGATGGCGTTCCAGTCTCATAGCAGTGGTCCTGTTCATCTGCTTGATCTTAACGGAACATTCATCGAAGTTCTTGATCAATTCGGCGCACTTCACCTCGCCCCTTCGTATACCGTAGGCATCCAGACAGTCCAGCGCTTTCATCTCCATATCACGGCATGGACCGTCGCCCCATTGCGAAGATATGACGCTCCCAGTCAGGTCAGTCAGGGGCGACTTAAAGAAAGGCGTTAAAATCGACATTCTGCTTCGGAAAACAGGCCTGCAATGGGAACGATTACGTCACAGCCGGAACAACCCTGCAAACCCCCACGTCCTGCTAGAACGGACAAGAGCGAAGCTGTGCTTACCTGTAGTTACACGGCCCAGACTTTTCACCAGTTTTAGCTGCAGCTTTGTATTTTAAAATTTATTTTCCTGCCTGATTTAACCTAGAATATCTGACAAGCGCTGTCAGTTATAAACGCCACACACGCCAATCAAAGATAGCTTTGGCAATGTTGCGACGGTTTGGGCGTGGCGTTAATTTAGTCCAATCAAAAAATCGCTTATTTTGAGCAAAAAATTTCGATTTGAAATTCACAAGGAAACACTTAACCGCCATTTTCTTGAATGTTAATTTTGTCAAATGAGTACGGAAAAGAAGGCCAAAAGGGTGAGAAAAACATGCCCAGTATAAATTAAGGCTGCAAGACAGTTCTTCACAATTAACTGTTGAACCTTGTTATAAGCAACTAAAGGGATTGGTAGGATGAAAACAGCAACATTCTGAGAATATTTAATTTATTCACTTAGAAGAAAAGGTTACCAGGTATTTACCAATGTCTTTCTTGTGCCGTCTTCATTGGGCCTCTGAAATACAACGGTAATTTATAACAAAGACACTGACTACAGCAGAAAAAGCGAATTATTGAAATAATCAGTTGGTAGTGCATGTTGTAAGAATCATCAACAACGTTCATAAAGTGGTGTAAGGTTTTCATCATTTATCAGTAAATTTTGCAATAATCAAGAACAGTTCGTTGCTTACCAGTTCAAGAGCTGCTTCCTTCTGAGTAGACGTGAGTACTCTTCGCTCATGGCTGACCTGAAAATAGAAACTTGGTAAAAACAGTCCAAAGGTCACTAATGCTCAGACACTTGGCCTATCAATAATCAGTTAGGAGCGAAAGACAAAATAAGGATGTAATCAAAGGATTTCATCTGAACTATGCTGTCATCACGTGTAAAGTTTCCAAAAAACCACTAGAATTATTAGGACTGAACTCACCCTCAATGAGTGGCGGGCGTTTGCAGGAATGCCTTCAACCTGAAACGCAAAAAAAAACATTGTTCAGATCCAAATTTTAATAAATAACAGTCTGGTGGTTCGACTAGAGGCTCAGTTGGTAGTGCATGTTGTAAGAATCATCAACATCGTTCATAAAGTGGTGTAAGGTTTTCATCATTTATCAGCAAATTTTGCAATAATCAAGAAAGGTTCGTTGCTTACCAGTTGAAGAGCTGCTTCCTTCTGAGTAGACGTGAGTAGACTCCTCGCTCATGGCTGACCTGAAAATAGAAACTCGTTAAAAACAGTCCAACGGACACTGATGCTCAGACACTTGGTCTATCAATAATCAGTTAGGAGCGAAAGACAAAATAAGGATGTAATCAAAGAATTTCATCTGAACTATGCTGTCATCACGTGTAAAGTTTCCAAAAAACCACTAGAAT